TCCGTATTATGACCAGCTCTCATCCACGTAGTTCATGCAAAAACCTTTTTCAAAATTTAAAAATCCATACCCTAACAGGACTGTACGTCTTGGAATCACTAAACTACATTCATTCAGCTAAAAACGACCTCCCAGAATCAATTCAAATCAACCATAGATATAATACTCGAAATGAAAACATTTTTAGATTTCCAAGGCACCATTTGACCCTTTATGAAAAAAGTCCACTATATGCTGGGCTGAGGCTGTACAATGTGCTGCCTGCAAACTATAAATTGCTAAATGAAAATAATTTTAAAGATAAAATAGGTGAACTCTTAATTGACAGAGCCTTTTATTTAATTGCAGATTTTCACAATGCCCCTTTAGTTTAGAATAGTTTTATCATTCAATTTTGTTAATTATATTATCATCTTGATTACTATTTTATTTTTTATATTCTGACAATTCGAACTCTGACAATGCACCTATTCTGTATGTAACACATGTAAAGAATGTTATGTGCAAATAAAATATGTCTATGTCTATGTCTATAGGCTTGACTTAGATCGATCTTACTGAAAAATTCCCCTTTTTGTAGTTCTGTAAACAAATCTTCGACCCTAGGAATGGGGTACCTATCAATTTCTAATTGTGCGTTAACATGCCTAAAATCCCCACAAATCCTAATGCTACCATCCTTTTTAGGAACTGGCACAATAGGCGATCCATACTCTGAACTGCAAACTGGGACTAAAATATCGGACTCCACCAAACGTTCTAGTTCTTTTTCTACCTTAGCCTTAAGGGTGTAGGGTAGTGATCTGGGTCGATGATATTTGGGAATGGCATTTTCTTTTACAACCAGCCTTACGGGCTTACTGTTACATTGTCCTAATTGATCTGAAAAAACTTCAGGAAACTCTTTTACTAGTTCTTTAACTAAACTGTTAGTCCAGTCAAGGAATGAGGTGTAGAGTGCGTGAGCAGGTAACTAAGCGATTCCTTCAGAAACTTGTTCAGGGGGCTTAGGGTGTTAACATACCAAAAGTCCTGACTCCTAGGTGGTGAGCCAGGGGGTGGAGGGGGGAAAAAGGGGGGGAAAAAGGTACGCATTTTGGGTTTTTTGATTATATCTCGAAAACTATCAACTTTTTGTATACTATAGTAAATTATAAAATTGAAGAAGATTAAATTTTCTACAAGAAAAGTATATAATGTGTTTATTTTGGTTCAACAGATTACGAGTTATAACTTATTTAATTGATATCTTATTAAAATCTTCTTCCATAAGAAATACATGTAAATTAGTATGCGAAATGGGGCGAATCCTATCCGCCCAAAGGAAATATAAATGATATTCTGGAAATCTTTACAAAATTTCCAGTAATTTGACACTTTAATCATTATAATTGATCCAAAATTAAGGCGAGGGCGAGGTAACAAAATTTCGAGTTTTGGTGTTTTTTTATTGGAAATATAAAAAAAAACCTTAAATCATCCCATTTTTAAACGCTCACCCTCGCTTTAATTTTTGACAAAATTTCATGATTAAAGTGTCAAATTACTGGAAATTTTGTCAATATTTCCAGAATATCAGTTATATTTCCTTTGGGCGGATAGGATTCGCCCCATTTCGCATACTAATTTACATGTATTTCTTATGGAAGGAGTATTTTAATAAGATATCAATTAAATAGGTTATAACTCGTAATCTGTTGAACCAAAATAAACACATTATATACTTTTCTTGTAGAAAATTTAATCTTCTTGTTCAACAGATTACGAGTTATAACTTATTTAATTGATATCTTATTAAAATCTTCTTCCATAAGAAATACATGTAAATTAGTATGCGAAATGGGGCGAATCCTATCCGCCCAAAGGAAATATAAATGATATTCTGGAAATCTTTACAAAATTTCCAGTAATTTGACACTTTAATCATTATAATTGATCCAAAATTAAGGCGAGGGCGAGGTAACAAAATTTCGAGTTTTGGTGTTTTTTTATTGGAAATATAAAAAAAAACCTTAAATCATCCCATTTTTAAACGCTCACCCTCGCTTTAATTTTTGACAAAATTTCATGATTAAAGTGTCAAATTACTGGAAATTTTGTCAATATTTCCAGAATATCAGTTATATTTCCTTTGGGCGGATAGGATTCGCCCCATTTCGCATACTAATTTACATGTATTTCTTATGGAAGGAGTATTTTAATAAGATATCAATTAAATAGGTTATAACTCGTAATCTGTTGAACCAAAATAAACACATTATATACTTTTCTTGTAGAAAATTTAATCTTCTTCAATTTTATAATTTACTATAGTATACAAAAAGTTGATAGTTTTCGAGATATAATCAAAAAACCCAAAATGCGTACCTTTTTCCCCCCCTTTTTCCCCCCTCCACCCCCTGGCTCACCACCTAGGAGTCAGGACTTTTGGTATGTTAACACCCTAAGCCCCCTGAACAAGTTTCTGAAGGAATCGCTTAGTTACCTGCTCACGCACTCTACACCTACTTTTGGATCATTCATTGACTGGACTATGTCATGTTTACTCTTTGATTCAGTTTTAGCAACAAATAATTCCTCAACATTTTTGAAAGAAATTTCTACTCCTAACTCCCTTATCCAGTCTCGTCCCATAAGGGGATGAGCTCCGTCCTTAATTACGTACAAGTCTAGGGTCCTGCTTTTATCTCTGAACTGAACATTTACCTCTAGCTTACCCACAGGGTAAATTGGCACATTAGTGTACGAGCTTAACCTTATGTCAGTAGGAAACAATTTCAAAGCACTCAAATTATCTTTGTAATAAGCCTCGCTTACTACAGTTACCGAAGCACCCGTGTCAACTTCAAAAGTTACTGATTTGTTCTCAAGAATAACCTCTGTTTTGAAAGGATCTACCTTAGTTATTTTACTGGACCCTTCACTAATTTCAAACAGATTACCTATACTCTCCTCAATATCATCATTTACGCTTACATCATCAGATACCTCATCTACATAGTTATGCTGCTTATTTCTATTATATCTAAAATCACTCTTATTACTACGGAACTGAAACTGTGACTTACTGTTTTGCTGAGATCGACACACTTTTGCTAAATGATTTTTCTTACCGCACTTGTGACATGTCGAACCTTTAAAACGGCAATTCCTGCCGATGTGACCGAAGTCACCACAACAAAAACACTGCCACTGCACTCTATCATTTGACGTTGACGCCGACGCCGCTGCAGACGATGTTGGCTGTTGCTGTTGTCTACCTCTTCCGGTGTTGTGATGCGCTGAACCTCGTGGGCGGGGTTGCTGACCTGATGGGCGTGGTGAAGCTGAAGCTGATGCCGCCGCCATGCGTTGGATCCTCCCGCCGTGACCATCGCTGCTTCCCGCCGAAAGTGACGCCGCGCTCTTCTCCGCCATCTCGAACTGTGACGTCATCTGCACTGCCTTCTCGAATGTTAAATTTGATTCCGATAAAAGTCTCTGCTTCATTGAATCACTTCTGATGCCGCTAACCAGGCGATCTCGTAGATAGTCATTTAAATTCGCGCCAAATTCGCAATGTGTCGACAAATGCTTTAATTGCGCGATATACTGGGAAACACTCTCGTTTTCTAACTGATTTCTCAAGCTGAATCTATATCGTTCCGCAATGAAAGATGGGGTCGGGTACAAATGGTCTTTAATTAATTTTACTAATTCAGCGTACGATTTAGTAGACGGTTTGTCCGGTGTACACAAATCTCGCAAAAGTTTAAACGTCTTTACACCAACTACTGTGAGTAACGTACTAACCTTTTTCGTTTCACTGACCTCATTACAACTTAAAAATAGCTCGAAACGTTCAATATACGAGTCCCACGTTTCCTCGTGTTGGTCGAACTCCCCGACGCTTCCTATAATTCCCGCCATTTTATGTCCGAACTTAAATCCTTCACTAAATAGCTTCTCTATGTTCATTCCTTCCCCACACAAACTAACGAAAATCGTTTTATGGCGCTAAAACAAGCCATTTACACCACGCGTACAGTACCGGACGTAGACCGACGCTTCACTCCCGAACGTTAAAAACTGCTCCAATTGTCCTCGTCGCCACTGAAGTGTCGTCACCCTGACGTACCTTCGTTGACACGGTGCTATCCTTATACACTGTAACTAAGTCACTACGTCACCCTGACGTCTTACACTACGGGAATCGGGAAGTTAATAAGCACTACGGTTTAACACTGTAAAACTGCTAACGACCGAACGGGCCGGAGTTACTCAGGATGGAAGCTGGCTATAACTGAGGTGTAGAGGTGTCGGTTAACATGGACTCATGGGTTGGGGAAGTGGCGTGACCCGATCGTCCAATAGCATTCGTTTATTCAAATATTATTAAATGGTAGTGGGAAATACAAACGGTTACAGTTCAACGTACATATTTAAATATTGCCAACATAGCCTTGTAAATTATTAAATAGTAAAAACGGTTATATTACTTATATAAATATATTACACCATTGACTGATTACAATGATAGTAGGACACTGCAATCCAGAACTGCAAATAACCAAGGTTTGTATATTATAGCAACATAAAGTGTATCCCTTAAGTAGATAGCCAAACTCCGGGAAATGGTTCTATGGGTCAAAATAAAGAGAAAATCAAGAAGGAAATTAATTCCAAAATCACAGCAAGTTCAAAAAGATCAATTGATAAAATAGCTAAGATATTAAAATTTTAGCTGTTTAATATAGTTCGTCACTCGTCCAAAATATGTCAACCGGACTCGTGTGGTAATCTCAACTACACTTGTCCGGTGAACACCTATTTTCTCGGCTGTTTTTTTTTTATGTCCCACGTTTACATCCTAGGACGCTAGTTCTAGCCCGGAACAGTTTTTCACATTAGCCTACTTCTTCAAGCTAGTCCTAGCTGGTAACGTAATATACTATTTCATTGCATACCTTCTACATCACAAACATTACTATCCCATCTTCTAATACGCACTTACTTCACAGATAAGGCCAGAGCAGGCATTGGCTGCATTTGAAGCCAAACTGGAGCTTGACGAACTTACCGCTTATCAACACCAGATGGAGCAGAAGATTCTTCAGCCTCAGAAAGACTTCAGGTTGGGGCTGTAAATTATTACTACTTCCTACTTTTGGTGTGCTTATGTTTGACACTTGAATCCTTGGTACCGAAACTTGTTGATGAGATAATATAAATAAATAATGTACGTCATGGTTAGGCTTCCACGTACACATATACTGTGGATTTTATTTTCTGTTGGTCCAAGTTTAATCCTCACTAAGGGTTGTGCGCATTTCATCGATTCTGCCATCATGAGATCTGATAAAAACCAATTTTGCTTTAAGAGGTGTGTCAGAAGTTGAAGCACATAAAATGACATTAAATCCTAACTGTTGAAATGTGACAGATTGATATAGTTGTTAAGGCCTATTCTCTCTCATCAACAGTTATGTGACATAAGACCCTAATGGTTTGACATAGATAGGCCTATTCTCTTGCAAAGTGTGTCGTGCAGGATAGTTTGGAGGACGTGTGGGGAGTCTCGCTAAAATGTGCTTAATCCATTGTCAGGATTAAACTGGTACCAAAAGGATACAAACAGTAATTTAACATTATTATTTGACATGCTGTAAGTCTTTGTGCAATGACCGTGTCATACTTTATACTTTATACTTTTCTTTGAAATGGCGACCATACAAAGTAGGTATTTTAAGCCAAGTATGAATGGAGATGAGTGTATGATGAGTGGCGCGATCTTGTAGTCTTGTTAGTGTCTAAGGTCGACACATTCCTTAGACACAGCTGTTAATTAATAGCCCATACTAAGCGCGACTAATGGCGACTAAGGATTCAATTCATAATAGATGAATACTTATATTCACCACGTTCTAGTCACAAAATTTTGACACGGTCGTCACCAGAAGACTTAAAAACCATAGGCCTACATAACGATAGAATATATGCTTTCATAAAGTACTATTGAATCACGTTTTGTAAATCTATCTATCTTTTTTATCACATCTGTTGATTGTTTTCATCCATCTTGATGAACATAATAGTATATTACAATTACACAACAGGCCGGGAAGTAGTTGTTTACAATTCAAGCATAACAGTTTGTTAACGAGTTCCATTAAAACTTTCCCAGCTGAGTTGATCACACCTTCCAAAAATTACACCATATTTTTTTAAAAAAGGTAAAGTTAATCCTTTCCATTATTTATTGAGAAAGTGGAATGTAGCTGTCCAAACCTGTCCAATATTTATTGTGAAGCTTTGTTGGGAGTCTAAAACAACTCATCACATTATGGCTTTTTGAAAAAAGTTACTGTGATTGATTGGTCATTTTACCAAACTCAGCAGATTTTACCGATCCCTTTATGTCTACGTTTTCCTGCTCTAAATTGTTAAATTGTACAAACCTCATTGTCAAATTGCTAACAATATTTTTTCAGCTAACGTTTCACAAGTTTTTCAACACGTACCTGGTATAAGGCTTTTTAGCAATACGTTTTGATGTCTGTCATCAGACCTAAAAGGTAATGAACTAATTATTGTAAGCTATTGTAAAGGTAGCTTAAACCTAGAAGCACCAGTCCATCAAGATTAAACCTAAAATCAAGTTACTGAAAGTGATCTAACATGTTGTAGCCAGTTTGTAGAGGCGTGTTTTGGTCCATTCTCTGCGACGTTGGCCCGCACGGGTCCTTACAAGACTTTGGAAAGAGAAGCTCAGGACTTGCTCACATGTCTACACGAGAAGCTCGATAAGCGGAGACGAGAGTTGAGCTGCGGCCTGGCTCCCACAGTTCGTGCTAAGCTCAAGCTCACCAGACTCGACTTGAAGGTGAGCTTCAGTTCCTAGAAGTGCTAAGCCTTTCCTGCCATGCAAACAAAGCCTGATAAACAGTTAATTTAGTCTTTATATACAAAAAGATTTTAATAATGTACTTCTGAAAGTATTATGAGTTTAATTTATTCAATATATTAATTTAATTTTGCGGATTCAATTTTTAATTTATGTTTAAGGTAAGTAGTTTTGTCGATTCAACTATTGACACTATTGTTGTTCAGATTGCCATACAACAGGCTGCATTGATGATGGAGCGACTATACCCAGGGGGTGTGTGCAGCAGATGGGGCATTGGCAGCGAAGAGGAGTTTTGGGAGAGCAAAGGTAATACCTTTTGAGCAAAGGTAAAGATTTGTAGAGTTTGGAAATTTATATTAACTATTGTTGTATATTATTCTATTGTTGCAAAGATTATTTATTATACCATGGATGCAGTATTATTTACTGTTGTTAGTTTGGTTTATTGTTGAGATTAATGATTGTAAAAAAAGTTGAATATTGCTTGGCTATGCATGGTTTTCAGTTTAAAGCTGTATTGGGTTCCAATAGCTCAAGTTTAACAATCCAGGAAATGAATTAATCGCAGGTAACTCGGACAGAAAATTATGACAGAAAAAAATAGTTTGTCCCTGTACTCTATACAGGCCCAAGTTGAAATTCAAACTCATGTTCACAGGACTCAGTGCCCATGACTGGCCGGGTTTGGCTGGTTTAATATACACAGACATATTTAGTCTTGACTTTCTCACCCCCTTGGACGACCAAGACACCAAGTTTAAATTGGAGGTGAGATTTGTTTAAATGACATTTATAAATCGTATAGCCGATGTGGATAAGATTCTTCTTTGTAAAATTAAAATTTAGGTCAAATAACACAAAAAAAGAACTGAATATCAGCTTTTTTTCTATTAAATTAGATAAATATAATGTACACTATTTTGTTTATAGTCTTAAGTGTTTGTGCCTCTGGCCAAAATTGGCTTTTGCAGTCCGGTAGTTCTACTATACCATGTTTTATTGTTTTTACAAATTTCAAAAAGTTGTGATCTCATAATTCTAAAAAATACAAGAACAAGATCACCCTTTGGAAATATTTGAATTCCCTATCAAGTCTCACCTGACCATTCTTGTTCTCAAGGTTTGCCATGTATAATGATTCAGGATAATATTAATTCAAAAACCGCTTGCACATTTGTTGCTAGGCCGTAGATTATTTAAGCTTTTTACTAACAGCGTTGAACTTAGGATCAAGGTTTTTAAATTCAAAATATACCCAGGTCAATGCAGTGTTGCCAAATTTTAGGTCAGGTTGAATAAAAAAACATTACCATGTGCTAAAAGTTGGGGAAAATATTTCTTTTTAATATTCCAGTGAACTACTTTAATTAATTCATCATGAATCTTTTCCCATGTAGCCGGCCTCCCATATAGACTTGTCACGCTACTCAGAGCTTGTCAGGTCTGCTGAGCTAGGTGCTGGTTGTCTGGATTTGTTGGGACCTGTGTACGCTCCTAGAGGAAACATACAAGTCCACTCTCCTTACCTGGACGTTGCTGCATTCAACCCCAGATACAAACCCGGGGCTTGTAGCAAGCAGAGGTGAGTAGAATCCTAACTTTTGAATAATTGTTGTTACCATAAAGTTTTACCAGTTTTCCAATTTTTCTCTTGTACAAACTCTTCTTTTCTTATTTTGCACTCTCTGTTGGCCATCCTCCTCTAATTAGTTTAAGTTTGAATCACAATCTTTTGTTCACCAAGAAAAATCTGGGTTGACTATCTCATCGCTCAGTTTGAGGGTATCTTCAGAAATCCTAGATGGCAAAAAAATAAAGGATTTATCCATCCCCTACGTCATTAATGTCTGTTCCTCACTGACTGTGAAATTCTCATTTACATTTTAAAACTTTTTCTCTAATTTAAAATTACAAAATAAATACCTGGCAAATTGACATTTTTCAGAGAAACTTCTGCAACTCCAAACACCAAGTCGCACTCAGGAAGTGCGAGATCAAGAGCTACTGGCTGGGAGTGTTGGCACCCGTGGAAGCGGCGCTGCCAACCTTACAGCGCTGACAAGCTGGTGATCCCGCTTCCAGTGCCTCACCCGGCGCACATCGCCGTGGCTATACACAACCGTGACACGGACGACGTCATACCTCTGGACTCCGAGATATGTCAGGAGATACTGAGGTAGGCGTGGTAATGTTTGTATGACTGTGTATAGGATAATTGATAATATGTGTGGCTATGACATCTCTTATACTCTAGAATAAGGTATACCCTGTTCAGTTTTTAAATTACTCTTCTGTTTGGTCCTAGCCTTTTGTAATTGTTGGTAATGTTCATATGTTAAATAACATATGTTCTTTAATTGTATTGATTTTGATGTTTATTTATGTTTTGATTCTGTTTTGTCTTGAATTGTGATGAAGACACTTTTATGATATTACAGTACAATATTAAATTAGTTTTATGAAAACTGTGTTACTTTATATAAGTAAATTTATCAACAATCTCAAAGACGGATTTTGGCATGTCAAATTGACAGAAGATTCTAGTAAATTAACAACATTTTGGACACCGTATGGAAGATACCGATGGTTAAGGCTACCTTTTGGTATATGTTCCGCTCCAGAAGAATTCCAGCGGCGTGTGAATGAACAGTTTGAAGATCTGGAAGGGGTCATAGGAATAGCAGATGATGTTGTTGTGTTTGGCAGTGGAGATACTGAAGAAGAAGCTCGCATTGACCATAACAATAATTTAAAATCACTACTTCAAAGGGCTCATGAGAAAAATGTTAAGTTTAACTTATCAAAATGTATGATTGGTATGAAGGAAATTAAATATATGGGTCATGTAGTCAGTGCAGATGGATTGAAGCCTGACCCCGTAAAGATTTCAACAATAAGAAATATGAAAGCACCACAAAACAAAGAAGAACTGCAAAGATTTCTAGGATTCGTTAATTATTTGGGAAAATTTGTTCCTAAACTCTCAGATGTATCAACACCATTACGATCACTGTTGAAGGAAGGTAATTTGTGGATATGGGAAAAAACTCATGATGAAACATTTAAAAAGCTAGTCCATTTGGTAACATCATCTCCAACCTTAAAATACTTTGACATAGAAAAGACAGCAACTGTGCAGTGTGATGCTAGCCAATTTGGATTGGGAGCTTCCCTGATGCAAGATGGTAAGCCAGTGGCATACATTTCCAGGACTCTTAGTAAGGCAGAATCGTCATATGCACAAATTGAAAAAGAATGCTTGGCAGTAGTTTATGCTCTTGAACGATTTGAACAGTACTTGTTTGGAAAACATGATATAACAGTTGAAACTGATCATAAGCCATTAGAGACCATCTTTAAAAAACCATTGAATTCGGCCCCAAAGCGGTTGCAGCGCATGCTTCTCAGACTGCAAAGATTTAATTTCAATATAATATATAGACCAGGAAGAACAATGTTCATCGCAGACTTTTTGTCTCGAACACCCATTACAGGAGATAAATCACATGAAGATAAAAGTATTCAAATCTTTTCAACAGACAGTCTAAAGTGTTTTGAAAACTCCAGTTCAAGAATGTACTTAAACGTGACAGACGAAAGACTAGACCAGATTAAGAATATCAACAAATCAGATCCAACTATGAAAAGACTAATTAACACGATTTACAATGGGTGGCCTATAAGTAGCAAGCAACTATCCGAGGATCTCAGACAATTTTGGCCATTTCGTGATGAACTAAGTGTAGAGGATGGGATCGTTCTCAAAGGAGAAAGAATTGTGATTCCAGTTTCATTACGAAAAGAATTAATTCAAATAATACATTTCTCTCATCAGGGATCAGATGCATGTATCAGACATGCACGAGATGTGTTTTTCTGGCCCTGTTTGAGTAGAGACATAAAAAATGATATAAGTTCCTGCAAGATATGCAAAATGTATGCACCAGACCAACAAAGAGAACCTTTGATACTTGAGAAAACTCCGGAGAGACCCTGGCAAAAAGTAGCCATTGATTTTGCCCAGGAAGGTTCGATTCACTATTTGATTGTCTGTGACTATTTTTCGTCATTTTTTGAAGTGAAAAAGGTAACAAAATGCACAAGTGAAACCCTGATAACATTTTGCAAAGAACTGTTTGCAAGGTATGGAATACCAGAGGTGGTTGTTTCAGACAGTGGAACGCCCCTCATGGCTCAAAGTTTTCACGATTTTGCCAAAAATTGGAATTTTAAGATAGTTCTATCCCCACCGTACCATCACCAAGCAAACGGTAAAGCAGAGTCGGCAGTAAAAGTTTTCAAGAATCTTTTGAAGAAATCGCGTCAAGATGGAGTGGACTTCCAACAAGCGTTATTAGAACTTAGGAACACCCCATTGCAAGGAATTGGCTTTAGCCCCGCTCAACTCCTCATGAACCGAAGAACACAAAGCAAACTGCCAATAAATAAGAGCTTACTGAAGCCACAAGTTCCACAAAATGTTCAGAATCTATGGGAACGTAAAAAGAGACAGTACAAAAGTCAGTATGACCATGGAACCACAGAGCTGCCTCCATTATCGATTGGCCAAAGCGTGTGGTTAAAGAAACAACCCCAACTGAAGAATGCGACATGGCTTGAGGGTAAAGTTGTTCAAAAGGAAGGGAGGAGAAAGTACATTGTGCGCCTGGAAGGAAAAGACTACATTCGAAATAGACAATTTTTAAGAACTTAAAAACATTTTGGAAAAAGGAAGATGTCTTCTGTTTGGTCCTAGCCTTTTGTAATTGTTGGTAATGTTCATATGTTAAATAACATATGTTCTTTAATTGTATTGATTTTGTTGTTTATTTATGTTTTGATTCTGTTTTGTCTTGAATTGTGATGAAGACACTTTTATGATATTACAGTACAATATTAAATTAGTTTTATGAAAACTGTGTTACTTTATATAAGTAAATTTATCAACAGTAATGCACACAATTTATAGGTTGAATGGTTGTCTTTTTTCTTTTGTAAATGCATAATAGTAATAACAATGAGACAACTCATTTCTCATAGTTCTCATTTTTTTAGCAATATAAATGGTGGAACCGTTGATAATAAATAAATAAATAAACAAGTGTTTTAAACTATCTAATGCTCTACTTGGTCTGCATTGTTTTTGGTAACTTTGCAGTATCAAGGATGTCACTCAGAGAAGTACGGTAGGCATACAGAGAAAACACTCAACAGTAAACTTAACTGGTGTCTAGCACTAGTCACTGGTGTCTATGACAAAGTCCAATGCCACCCCCTTTTACTTCATGTATTATAACGCTCACGATGGAGGAAGACCCTGTCCAGTGCGATAGGAGTTTCTAAACAGTGCTTGCTGCTTGGGCTCTTCCTTGCCCGTCACAAGTATATTTCCGGCACAACATACCAGAGCTGAAAGCAAACGGTTGTCCTATAAGCGTGTTACCTCTGTTACAAATGTATTACTTACTATTACTCCTCTGTTAATGTAACGATATAATTAGTGTAACCACAAAAAGGAAGAATATCTTAGTGAGAACGAGCAATCTTACTTCTATCTTATACTTATCTTAAGATACTTATACTTAAGATATCTTATATCTTATATTTAGGGATGGTCAAGTCTCGAAATTTCGGGAAATTTTAAATCTCGTTACACGAGACGAGATTTCTTTTTGACCGAGATTTTTATCGAGACGAGAATAAAAAAAAAAAAAAAAAATTAAAAACGCCTGCAGAAAGTCAATGCAATACCCGCAATACAGGAGCGTGTTGTAGTTGCGTTTCCTTTGCAAAGGCGTTCTTATTTAATTAATTCTATAAATGTAAATATTACTTTAATTATTTTAATAACATTACTTTAATAACATTTGAGAAGTTTTGTTAAGTGTAAGCAGTGTGAGGAATGTTTTATTACTATAAAAAGTCAAAACAAGTAACTATTTTATAAAAATTAATATTGCTTTTATTTTATGATTTATTTTATTTTAGGATAAGTTGAACTCTATCCTAACTGATATCAGTATGTTTCTTAATCGTAGGCATTTTTAATAAGTTAGGCGTGATTAATAAAAAAATGTTATGCTGATGTTTTTTAATAAAAGATTGTAAATATTCTTGCCTATTATCATTATTGTTGTATTTAAACAGTCATCTAACAATGTTACAAAATCAGGTAAAAATTTTGAACGTGCATTTCCCGTTGTGTATAAGAAGGGAAATCCCGTCTCGAAATTTTATGAGAAATAAAAAATCTCGTCTCGTCTCGTCTCGAACTAAAAATTCAATCTCGTCCATCCCTACTTATATTATCTTACTTACTTTTATCCTATACTTATATCTTACTTATATATGAACTGCACGTCTGTATTTTTTATTTTGTCGTTTTACTTGATGACACTGCCTCACATTAAAAAACATAAAGTGAAAACCATCCATCGAATACAGTATTTTCTCAAGATTATTGTAATGTTAATAAATAATTTTTAATATACAGGGCAGTGGAAGACAGTAGCCAGGAGTGTGTAGAGGGAGTGGCGAGGTATCGTGGTGGAGGCGTTGACAGCAGCTTTGACTCCGTAGAGTCTCGTAGTTGTGACTCTGAAGAGCCACCAGCTCTTCAGCCCCCCACCCCGTCCGCACCCCCCGCACCTCCTACCAGCTTCAACTGGCGACAGGTATTATATGTCAACATCACTAAATGTTTACTCTTGCATGTTAGGTTAACTTTGTCACTGTCAAAGTGATCTGGTGGGTTTAAATGTAACTTCAGGTTTCCTTTTATGTACAAACTATGAGATTATCCTCTACTGGCCGAACATTTATATTCCTAAGGTTAGCTATTATAGTTAATCCTATTTATTTGTGATAAGCTGCAACCCTCTAGGCCTAGCATGAAGTCTGTGTAAAGCGGTTCCAGGATATAGCCTAAATGTGAAAGAAGGACATTTTAACCTGGATTCCTGGATACATTTTTTGAATCATGATTCTTCTTCACAGGGAGAGTGGGCTAACCCTACTCGTCGGAAGCGCAACTCAGGTACAGTTCGGGTGGACTTGGCTTCACCCGAGGATGTATCTCTGGACACAGACTCCTCCCGAGTAGTCTTCAGCAGCTACGGCACCACAGTTTAGTGTCAAACAACTACAGGCCTAGGCTGTCAATGTTAAGAAATACAGTATTTTGTTGTGTATACAAGCAGCAGGAATAATCGATTTAAAATTTATTAGAGCTGTTGTGTGAAAGATTACGGCCAGTAAGTTACGGCTAGGCATCTGACTGATTAAGGAGTTGGTTTTTAACACTTTTTCCTCAACTTTATTTTTACTAATCCCCAAGTAATCCCCTTGGTTATATACAGCAAAATGAGGACCAAAATTGGTCTATTCAACCAAAAAAGGACCATTATTGTTTTTATTCAACCAAAAGAAGCGATCTAAGTCCAAGACAGTCGATACAACTTGTTTTATTTATTCCAAAACTCCAAATTCTTTAATCCAACTGTATTGCACTATTTTTTTAATACTGTTGACAATTAAATTCACAACCTAGGCCTCAAGAATAATATATGAGACTTGTAAATATAATTGTAATCTACATTCATCGTTATGACATAGCTTTATATTTAACATTTTAGCATAAGTTTTAAATTAGGACATTAGCTACAGTAACATTTAAGTTGAGTTTGGTCTATATATGATCAGTTTTAAAATCAGAGGAAATTCTAATCATGATCATAACTGCATTAAGTTCCTATCGGCAGCTATTGTTTTTAAACAGTTTTATTGATTTTTGATTGTTTTGATTGACCAATATAATGAAAACTAAATGACAACGACAGTTTAAAGCAAATTTTATGTGATTGTATTGTTATTTCTTACAAAAAAATTAAACTACCTCTATCCGTTTTCATATTTGAAATCATCAATTTCCCTTGTTCTTCTGATTTTTACACAATCAGTTTAAACCAAGTATCAGGATCCAAAGTATTTAGGGAATTCAGGTGACTATGATTGTAAGTGGTAGCTTATTTAGTTTATAAAATGATTTTTTTAATTTAAAGCATTCAGGAAATAACAGTCTTAAAGGTTTTACCAAACAGTGTATAAAATTACTAAATTAGTTTTCTCAGATAGTTACAAAATCACCTAGGTTTGCTCCAAATTGATTGATAAAATACAGTAGACACCCTCTTATCCGGACTGCTTGGGACCGAGGCCAGTCTGGATAACGGTTTATCCGGTTAAACCGACATCCCCAAAAGCTCGTTAAAACTGACCACTTAAATGCATGCAACCCAAATATTTGAATCAAATTTAGGAGAGCATTGTGTTTAAATTCTTGTTATTGTCTCAAATCTTTCCCACGAGAACAGTCGTTTCAGTACCAAAAGTTGTCCCGATAAGAGGGAGTCTACTGTAGTATTAATAACAGTTAGTGGTATAAAATTGTTTTATCACTAAAAGATGATATAGCTCATTGTTCTTATCTAATGTATTAGGATAAAGGCATCCTCCACTTCTCTAAGCTTGTCATGCAAAATTGATACTGTACAATTTTACAAATACTGTAGCAGCACACACTTACAATTGAAATTACTTGATTTGTAAATAGTTTGAAGACATTGATACATACATATCTTAATATCTTCAGAGTAAAATGTCAAAGAGTTTCATAAAGGTTGCATAATGTTATAACAATTTAACATTACACAGTTTAATTAGTTTTAATTATTAGATAGCATTAAACCAAATAATAATGTAGTCGTAATTTTAAGTTTTAAAAAATTGGTTAACAATCTGTGGTTGTATACTGTATTTATTATTAATATTTATATTTTGTAAGATGCTTCCAATGTGTAAGCTTTACTTATTGTTATTACTAAAGGTTTTAATCTAAAAATTACCTTAAAAGTCTGGTTAGCAAACTTAATGTATAATTAATTTAGTGATTTTAAAATTAGTTGAATATTTTCTTTTTTCTATTTTTTGGATTCAGAACAAATTTAGAACAAAAGTGTGGAAGTAGTTGTAATATTATAAACTTTATAATATTTTATCTTTTATATGTTTTTTTTTTATTTTTTTTATTTTAGTGTAGTATGTTATAGTTTTTTACAACATACATCAACATTATTTATTCCTTTCCTTGCATTCAATATGTTATTCATATTTTAGCTTTTAAATGAAGCAAAATTAATTTTGTTTAAAGTTTGAAGTTTTTTTCTCATTTGACTTATAATTGAGGATTAAAGCTCAATTGATAATTGTTTTACTGTACATGAAGGAACTGGAATAGCATTGATGAGTGAGCGAACACATTTACTTGAATTAATTTAATTTAAGGTATTGATCAACCCTTTATTATAGGCCCCTAACTTATGGTAAATCTCTCCTTTTTTTGCAACAAAAAAACCATTATGATCTGGAAAAACTATTTTCCTCTATATTTTTTTTCCTTTTTTGTTGTGCAAACTGCATTATTTATTATGTTAATAGGCCATAAATAGTTTTTTTAAACATTGAACGGTTTTGTAGACTAAACATCACTTAGTGATCAAAACATTATTGAAGATTATAAGTCATAAAAAATGCCATAGTAGCGTTTGTATTTTCAACTATAATATTGTATACTGCTGTGATTTTTTCTATTTAGTTTAAAAAAAAATATTAGAAGTAGAAATCTGCCATAAATAGTTTTTTGATGTAGACAGCATGTACATTATAATACAGCATAAGGAGAACACTTTTAGAACTGTTATCGAATATTTATGTTCTCAAAACATATTCCATTATTGTATAGAAAGAGCAAAATATTAATTAGAGATAGAATTTTTATATTTGTTGCCATCAATGTTACTCGTAGACGTAGTGTAGCAATAGTTAAGGATTATAATGGAACAAAAATGTGTAAAGCAAAATTTACTGTGTATAAAGGTGCTTCATAATGCATTTATCTCTGAATCTCTGATAGTTTTTGTTTCAGATTCAAGGTAAGAGATGGATTGTACCTACACATTTTTCAATTTATTAGTAGTCGAGTCAATATAGGCACTTGAGATAGAACAAATTCCAACAAATGGTTTTTCGACGGTTTTTGGTAGTAATAGGTGTAAAAAGTACCAGGAAAAAAGTCTACCAAAATCGGACAACCGGAAGTCGGGTTTTTCCAAGATGGCCGCCGTGAGGCCCTCAAATCGACAAGATGACTGCAAAATCGTCGATTCATAGTTCCAGGATTGGCCGATTTCCACGAAAATTGGCAAACACATGGAGAACTATATTTCCAACCTTAAATATGAAAACTAGGCAGACAAAGTAACCCAAAGATGAATTTTCTGGGTATTATGTGCTAAAAAATAAGATTTTTTTACCTTAAATATATGTTTTTCTAATATTTTGTGCAAAGTTTGTTATAATTTCAAATTTATTTTTTCACCATTAGATTCAACACAAAAAACCTAAAAAATTAGTATATTGAATCTTTGTTCTGCTTCAATTTGTTACAGAGATATTGAAAGTAATAACTTTATTATGTTTTATTGCCGAGATAACTCAATGTTAATCTTATGGAGAATAAGCATAAATATTAATATTATTTTTCATTAAACCTATATAGATAAGACTTTTTGTTCTGCTTCATATTATCTGTTTTAATATTTTTTTTACTAAAAATTCCTTTTTTGGCAGTTACCATTGCAGCAAACCTACGTATTCGGTTCCTTAGTCTTAAGCATAAAGAGAATAAACAAAAATCAATTTTTTTATTAGTCCGAGAAATATAGAATATTACCTTAAAAAAATGCAAGAACACGTTTAATGGTTTTATGTTGTAGTGTTGGGTATGCAGAGTAATATAGTAAAAATTGCCAAAAATCGGTCTACTGGAAAACCCCTAGAATCAAGATTTAATATGACGGATTTTCTCAACATTGGAAAAATTAAAAAAATCCACATGCATTTTCGTTGATATTGACTTCAGACCACCGATATTTATTAGGTGGTCATTTCTTCATTTCGATAGGGAACGTGTTTTCGACCGTCATTTTGGATCCCCCTATTGGGTATAAATATTTTTTTAAATGTAATGACAGTGTCATTTCAATAGGGAACGTGTTTTTGGCCGTCATTTTGGATCGGCCATATTGGATATAAATAATTTTTTTAATGTAATGTCAATGTTGTGACACATTATTTTAAACTAGATTTTCACGCCCATTCCATTGCCAAAATGAGTTTTTAAATATCTTTTTTTCGTTTAAAGGATATATTCAAACGAAAATCCTCTTGCATACATTTCTTAAGGACGTTTCGTATTTTGAACATTTTTTAAGATTATTTTTTCTTATATCTCCAGTACATATTAACGCTTGCAGTTCGTTCTAGCCTTAAACATTTAGTGATGTAAGGGCTTTCATTTGAGCTATTGATCATTAAAATCTGACGAGTTAGAGACTAGTTACCAACCCCAACAAAATATTAAATTTCACTTTTTAGAAATATATATTTTTATTAAAATATTTATATCTCAGGTTCTTAATACGTCACCAAGTTCTTTCTGGTTTCATATTACTCAGTAAATGTTTGGGTTAATTTTTTTAATCACTTAATAAAATGTGACAAATTTAATATGGGTCTGTCTTATTAACCAAAATTTTTTTTCGAGATTTTCTTTAGTTTAAGACATATACCCCCAAATCGAAAAATAACTCCCAATACTCTTTATAATCTTAAAAGATTCATCAAAGTATTGACTTTTACTGTAGTTATGGATTATTAATAGAATTGGGGATATTTGTATTAACTAAAGACAAATTTCAAATGCAAATAATTTAATATTAAATTAAGGTGCATGACTCATTTTTTATTAATTAGTCAGATATTATTTAGTGACTAATAAAATAAAAAACCTAATTCTCTAATGAGTAATTTGAGACCAGAAAGAACTTGGTGACGTATTAAGAACCTGAGATATAAATCATTTAATAAAAACTGATTTATAAAAAGTTAAATTTAATATTTTGTTGGGATTGGTAGATCGTCTCTAACTCGTCAAATTGTAATGATCAATAGCTAAAATGAAAGCCCTTACATCATTAATTATTAAGAATGAACTACTAACTGAAGATAAGGAAAATAATCGTAAAAAATTTCAAAGTACAAACGTTCAAAACAAAAAAATGTATTTAAAAACGGATTTCGGCAATGGAATATGCAGTATATAGTAAAAATATGTCACAACACTGTCGTTACAACAACAAAAAATTATATCCAATAACATGGATCCATAATGGCAGCCAAAATACGTTTCCCATCGAAATGAAGTACTGACCACCCAATAAATATCGATGTTGGTCCCAAGTCAATATTTAGAAAATTGTGCATAGAAAATGCTTATGGTATCTTTTTTTCTAAATTTGTCCAATGTTGGGAAAATCCGACTCTGCACACCCAAAACTACAACATAAAACCAAAAACGTTTTCTTGTATTGTTTTTAAGGTTATATTCTATACTTCTCGGACTAATAAGAAATTGATTTTTGCTTATTCTCTTTATGATTAAAACTGAGGAACCGAATACGTAGGTTTGCTGCAATGAACACTAACAAAAAAGGAATTTTTATTTAAAAAAATATTAAAACAGATAATATGAAGCAGAACAAAAAGTCTTATCTATATAGGTTTAATGAAAAATAATATTAATATTTATGCTTATTCACCATAAGATTAACATTGAGTTATCTCGGCAAGAAAACATACTAAAGTTATTACTTTCAATATCTCTGTAACAAATTGAAGCAGAACAAAGATTCAATATACTAAATTTTTAGTGTTAAATCTAATGGTGAAAAAATAAATTTGAAATTATAACAAACTTTGTACAAATTATTAGCAAAACATATATTTGAGGTAAAAAATCTTATTTTTTAGCACATAATACCCTGAAAATTCATCTTTGGGTTACTTTGTCTGCCTAGTTTTCATATTTAAGGTTGGAAATATAGTTCTACATGTGTTTGCCAATTTTTGTGGAAATCGGCCAATCCTGGAACTATGAATCGACGAATTTGCAGTCATCTTGTCGATTTGAGGGCCTCACGGCGGCCATCTTGGAAAAACCCGACTTCCGGTTGTCCGATTTTGGTAGACTTTTTTCCTGGTACTTTCTACACCTATTACTACCAAAAACCGTCAAAAAACCATTTGTTGGAATTTGTTCTATCTTAGAGGCTTTTTTGGGCTAAATCGACTCGTCTATAGACCCCTCTTGTATTCTATCATTTAGTAGCACTATAATTTTAAAGAGAGAGATCAAACATTTAGATTTGCCTGTGGATTAGAAATTATCAATGATATTACCATTAAAATTTTACCAGTTCTATGGAGTTAACTAATTATGATACTGTGGTATAGAACAATGTTTTTACAAATGGTTTTACTGCCTATTTTTTTTTTTTATATCATCTAAAAAATAACAAACATAATTTTGCAACATATGTTTTAGTCACAAATAGTTGGTTGACTAACCATTCTCCTAGTATGTATGCAATGCTTCATGAAAAAGAAATAAAATAAAACTATCTATGACATTATACTAGGAGAATAATCGTATTTACATGATGAATTCCTTAGTGCAATTGACTGTTTTGAATACATTATACATGACAAAATTCTCCCAACA